TGCCGTGTCCGACGGGGAGAGCACAGGAATTTGACCTTTGCCGGCCGGCCGGTGCCGGTCTGGGGTCACAAACCCTCAGCTGCGCCGCCACTGGCTGATCAGACGCTGTGGTCAGCTGACTAGCGTTGGCATGGTTACCGCCGGCCACCCACGCTCATCAAATAAACAGAGGCCCCACACTTCGGGGTTACCAAGAGTGAGGCCGCGCGCGGGCCCAAACCAGCTCTGGTCGCCCCCTTCCCCCACATGTTTTGCACGGCTTCCTTCCGCCCTGCTTAACACGGGAAGGCATCTTCCAAACGGGCTCCACACCCCAGCACGTACCGGAGGCTCCAAATAAGCCCGGTGAGAGGACACAACACTAACAGCGCCGCGTTGTATCATCACTCTGTACGACTTTTCACGGCGCTTTTTGTCGCGGCGCGCTGACTGCTGCGTGGGAGCCGCCGCCGTGCGCTGGGCCCTAGTGCGGTGGGGGGGGGTAGCACATGGGGAGCGGAGAGACGCAGAGGTCTGCCCACCACCTCGACACGCTGGCTGTCGTCCGATCTTCAGACAAACTGGGCGGAATGGAATGAGGAGGCCCGGCTCAGGTGTGGGGAGTAGCTTGTCAAGACGCAAGCGAGCAGCCATCAGTGATCACATTCCAGCAACACCTTGCCCACTGTCCGTTCTTCGCGCCAAGCGTCCGCGTCAACCAGCACGACCGCCGCCAGGCCAGAAGCGTGCGCAGGCACGCAACGACGTGGTGGGAAGTGCGGAGTCCCCTCGCCCCCGACTAATGCTAGCGCCGTGGGGCCAGGCGCAGGATCTGCGCATCGCCCACCGGTCAAACACAAACAACTTACCGACCATTTGATCATGAAAAGCCCGCAACTTTCACACACGTCCCCCACAGATGTGTGTAAGTGTCTGCTAGAAGCTTGCGTTTAAGTTGTGAAAGCTCCACCGTAACGTGGCGCAGGCGTACACTACAAGCTCGGGTTGCAACGATACCCTCCTGTAAGCGCTGCACGTACCGTAAGGTACGCGAGATACAAATATGATACATCACGAGAAGACTATACACAAGCTATACGACGACGTATGACCACTGCATGCACCGCAACTGTGCTTCAGTGTCGGCTGAATCCTTACACCAAGGCAAGCAGCCAACACCACACACCCGAAAAACCCCGACACAACGTCTGCGCAGGAAGCACGGCTCCTTCCACGGGCGCGTGTAGCGCGTGCTACCGTTTCGCAACACGCGGGCTGCTCAAAATACCGTGGCGTGCCGCGCCGGCCGGCGGTTCATGCCGCGGAGGAGCCCGTCGGCGGATGTCACGTGACCAGACGGCACACGTCCGACTACGACACGACATATGTCCGGCATAAGACGAGGCACACGGCCGGCTACGATACGGCGCGTGGGCGGCTACGACGCGGCACAAATCCGGATCCGACACAGCGTAAACCCGGCTACGACACGGCACACGTATGGCTACAACACGGCACACGTCCAGCTTCAACACGGCATGTCCGGCTACGACGCGGCACAAGGTACGATACGGCACGTGGGCCGCTACGACGCGGCACAAATCCGGATCCGACACAGCGTAAACCCGGCTACGACACGGCACATGTATGGCTACAACACGGCACACGTCCAGCTTCAACACGGCATGTCCGGCTACGACGCGGCACAAGGTACGATACGGCACGTGGGCCGCTACGACGCGGCACAAATCCGGATCCGACACAGCGTAAACCCGGCTACGACACGGCACAATATGACTATAACACGGCACACGTCCGGCTACAACAAGGCATGTTCGGCTACGACGCGGCACACGCCCGGGTACAATATGGCACAAGTCAGGCTACGACATGGCACACGTTAGGCTACGACACGACGCAGCGAGGCACAACACGGAGGAGGACGGGGCGACGCGACACGCGGCGGTCAAGGCGAGCTGTGGAGAGGGTGTCTGGATTGCAGACACGAGAAGAAAAGAGGTGCTTCGCCCGGCGTGCTGATCACACCGGGATCTGAGGCAGCACGACAGGATACGACAGGATACGACAGGATACGACACGACACGACGACAGGATACGACATACGACAGGATACGACACGACACGACGACAGGATACGACATACGACAGGATACGACAGGATACGACACGACACGACGACAGGATACGACATACGACAGGATACGACGTGGCGCAGTACGCCTGCATGGACACAGCATGGCGGCATGCGGCAGAGAGTGATGGGACACTGCGGTTGATGGCACGGGATGTGCTGAGCATGTTGAGCACGGCTGGGTTCGCTAGGGTGCAGCGAGGCACAGTCGCGCCAGGTACATCGCGCCAGGGTATGGCGCACCGTGCAGGGCTGGGTTGGCTAGGGTGCGGCGCGGCACATCGCGCCAGGGTACAGCGCACCGTGGCATGGCTGGGTTGGCTAGGGTGCGGCGCGGCACATTGCGCTAGGGTACATCGCGCCAGGGTACAGCGCACCGCGGCAATGGCTGGCCCCGCCTCGGCCCACGGCACGGCTCCGTGTGGCGAGGGCGGCACGGCGTGGCCGGCACGGCGTGGGCCGACGCAGCACAGCGGAGCGCGACCGTCACGTGAGTGGCCAGCCCCCGACAGTCAATCAGCCCGTCGCGTCTCCACATGCGAGAACGCGTCAGCGTAACGCACGCACTGAGCTCGCGCCAGTGCCAACCACTGACTGGCGGCCACCAATACAACGTCGCAGGGCCAAAAAACGGCACCCCTCCGCTCATACCATTAGCGCCAGGCAGGCTTGCGCCATTGTGCGTGAGCACGCCGGCGCAAACACGCCACCATCAACGCCGCCGATGTTTCAATTTAGCTCTAAGCGCCGTCATATTTCAAACGGGCAACACAATTCGACCGGCTGTCTTCGATTATCGACGCCCGATGCAGGTTGTCGCGCGGCCATCGCATAATCATAAATCGCCGGCCCATTGGTATTCGGCAGACCCGGAACAATTATACGGCCGTCTTCCCACAATGAGGCGGAATGGGGGCCGCCCGCGGCTGCTGCCAAATGTCCACACAGGCCCCGGGCGGCCAGATGCCGCGCGGGTCAGTCTAGGCGCCAGGCGCGTGAATGAATTAGGCGCAGCGTAGTGCTGGGGCCGACAATGCTCTTGAACCTCATGGTGGAATGCTGGCCGACCGCGCCGCCCACGAAGGCGAGTAAGGTCGCCGGCGCTGGGGCTTCGCCCGGTGGCGTCCCAGGCTGTGTGGACGACAGACGGCGCGGGGAACAGCCGCAGCCATGCCGATGCGATTCGTTATGCCGTTTTGCAATGTATCCGCTGAGAACGGGTACTTCAGGACGCAATGTAATCCGCTGAGAACGGGTACTTCAGGACGCAATGTATCCGCTGAGAACGGGTACTTCAGAATCGCGGAGAGACATCGCCATTGCGATGCACGTATCTTGCACCGATATGAACATTTGAACATATGAACATTTGAACATGAACATACGAACATTTTGGGAATGAGGGACGTCAGATACCACCAGCACCATACCAGAAATCCCCAACCGCGGTGTGACGTCACACCCCCGATTGCTTTGGGGACCGGAGCCATAGTACAATACGGCCACCGGTGATTTACAAACGAACGAACGGGAGGAGAGAAGGGTGCTGAGGCAGATTTCACATGCACTGAATTGAGGGCGCTTAACCGCGATGAAGATTAGAACGCCTTATCTGTAACGAACTAGAACCGACCGACAAGTTTCACCCTTAAAAAGATCACGCCAGACCAGTGCACTTTCGTTGCGTTTGCACAGGCTCCCTGCGCATGACCCTTCCCTATTTCCGCCAAGACGAGGTCAGCCTGGGTCAACAAAGGCCACTGGGATCCGGCGGCGGCCTGCGGCGCGGCCAGCCATCGCCGCGCACCCCGCCGGGCGGCTGATTGGTCGGCCGCCGGAAGCGGCCGGAAGTTCGCCTGACCCAGTCTGGCGCGGCCGGCTGGACGCGGACAAAACGCCACGCGCCGGACAACAATGGAGCACACGCGCGCAATACGACGACGGAAAGTGGCCGGCGAGAGCGGCGCGGGAGCGGCCAATCAGCACCGGCCCGGTGCGTGTCACCGGCCGCCGGCACCTGTTCATCATCGGAGAACAATACCGGTCATTACCGGTTTGAGCCGGCCCGCGAATGACCGGCCCCGCGGTGGCGGCCGGAGCAAAACGGCACGATACTTCGACGCGAGAAAGCGAGGCCGGAGCGTGCTGGTCAGTTGTGAAACAATGCGTATGGTCGGAGCCGGACCTCGCCGCTGGCAGAATCAGGCGGCGTCGGGGCCGCTGTCCCTGCAGTGAAACGCGCGCTGATGCTGACTGTGATGACTGTTACTGCTGACTGGTGCTGACTGCCCGGTGCACACGCACGCGAGTACTGGGCAGTCTCCGAGTGCGTACCCACCACGGCGCATACAGAGCCAGCAGCGTGTCATCCATAACGACGGATTTCCACGTTCGTTTGAAGCATGTCCCATGCACCAGTAAAACACCAAGTACGCCCATCTACCACTACATTAGCATCAGCACGAACACGGGTTCGTCTTTACTACCGCGTGTAGCCTGCGGGTATGAAACAGCTGTCCCAGTGGCCAGGCTGCCGGCAACCTGCACTCAGTCCCCGCTGTGGTGACCACGTGACCCGCGACACGACCTGACCCACTAAGCGGCGCGTGACACGCGTGTGCCGATATTCTGGGCACGACTGGGCGGCTGGCCATCGCGTCGCCGGTTTTCGTTGGGCTCGGTCGGCGACCGCCAGTCGGAGTAGGACGACAGGTCACGTGACAGCAGGGGCGGTGCTTTACTGTCTAATGCGGGGCTTCCCCCTCCCCACTTCAAGAGGAGGGAAAGTTTCGCAGTCTGTCGGAACCAGACTTTTGTCTTCCGTTTCCCTGCACAGCCCCCCCCCCCCCAGCGCACCGCTTTTGCCAGACTAACACTTCTGCGTGAACAGCAGAGGTGTATCTCTGAAACAGAAGAGGTCCGTTGGTCGTGCGGAGCCATCACGCGGTGGTTGGGCTGCGAGTTCGGCATGGTTTTGCACGATGATGACGACGATGACGATGACGATTGCACTGACGATGCGCGTTTGCCATTCATCTGTCATTTTACGACGTAAATCCCACTGCTGGTCGGAAGCGTCCCAACCCCCGGCGCCGATCGCGGGGCACACAAACAGCACACAACCCCCAGCGAGTTTAGAACCGGCGCCTCGCGGTCGCGGGTCCGACGTTCCGCCGCTGCCCCAGCCGTCCGATCGAACAGTCCGCGGCCGCTTGACCGGGAGTAAACGGCACTCTGCATCACTGCCATGTCGTCAGGTCCACCTGTCTTGCTCAGGGCGCTCCTTCTGCTCAGGGCTCCTTCTGCTCAGAGCGCTCCTTCGGCTCAGGGCGCTCCTTCGGCTCAGGCGCTCCTGCTCAGGCGCTCCTTCTGCTCAGGCGCTCCTTCTGCTCAGGCGCTCCTTCGGCTCAGGGTGCTCCTTCTGCTCAGGGCGCTCCTGCTCAGGCGCTCCTTCTGCTCAGGCGGCTCCTTCGGCTCAGGGTGCTCCTTCTGCTCAGGGCGCTCCTGCTCAGGCGCTCCTTCTGCTCAGGGCGCTCCTTCGGCTCAGGGTGCTCCTTCTGCTCAGGGCGCTCCTTCTGCTCAGGGCGCTCTTCGGCTCAGGGTGCTCCTTCTGCTCAGGGCGCTCCTTTGCTCAGGGCGCTCCTTCGGCTCAGGGCGCTCCTTCTGCTCAGGGCGCTCCTTCGGCTCAGGGTGCTCCTTCTGCTCAGGGCGCTCCTTCGGCTCAGGGTGCTCCTTCTGCTCAGAGCGCTCCTGCTCAGGGGCGCCTTCCTTCGCTCAGGGCGCTCCTTCTGCTCAGGGCGCTCCTTCTGCTAAGGGCGCTCCTTTCGGCTCAGGGCGCTCCTTTCTTGTTTTGGGGCCTTTTTAGGGCGCTCCTTCGGCTCACGGCACGATCAGCGAACGGGCCGTGCTATCGGCCTCGGTAGCTTCACTAGATGCGACGACAGAGGATGGTACGGCAGGGGATGATACGGCGCCACGATAGGACGCTGCGAGATACAGCGGCTCCTCCGTGAAGGGCGGCCGCCACCAGCCGGCGCAGTTCGGATCTGCTCGTCACCCGACGCCTCGCTGCTCGGTGTGTCGTGACCCGCCAGACCGGCGGGCCGGCAAAGTCACGCCAAACTGGACTGCACGCGAGCACACGCTCGGAAAGCTCAGACCGGCCTGCCGGCAAAGTCACGCCAAACTGGACTGCACGCGAGCACACGCTCGGAAAGCTCAGACGGGGGCCGGCAAAGTCACGCCAAACTGGACTGCACGCGAGCACACGCTCGGAAAGCTCAGACCGGCCTGCCGGCAAAGTCACGCCAAACTGGACTGCACGCGAGCACACGCTCGGAAAGCTCAGACCGGCGGGCCGGCAAAGTCACGCCAAACTGGACTGCACGCGAGCACACGCTCGGAAAGCTGCAGGGCGTATCCATGGCGGATGATAAGAGCATCTCCCGTAGTTCTCGATATCTGTGACGGGTGGTAAGAGCATCTCCCGTAGTCCTCTATATCTGTGACGGGTGGTAAGACCGTAGTTCTCCCGTAGTTCTCGATATCTTCGTTGAACGGACGCTCGATGCCCTAAGGGCAGCAGCCGTAACGCGAACGACCTCATTAGTAGTGCCGGACTGTATTCTGTAGTGTGTAGTGCCGGACTGTAACGTGTGGTAGTGTCGGACTGCATTTTGGCCGTCGGAGCTGTGGTCGGGAGAAATCAACGGAACGCTGCTGCTGGTTTTTTTCTGAGCGTGCCCCGCAAGTTCACGCTGGGCTCGCAATAGCGACGCTTCATGTGACCTGGGACAAGCGTACCGCTGGATGAGAACAGGGTCAAAGTGGATTAGTTGCTCCAGACCTTCAACAAGCTCGTTACGTCGGTTGAGCTGTGTTTGTTGATGGCTTCAGCAGCTACGCCCCCCACCGCCCGCCTGAGCCTCTCACCGCCCGCGTGCTCTGCCCGCTCCCTGTCTCTGGACGCAGCCTGGAGGCCCTTGCTCTGCCCGCTCACTATCTCTGGACGCAGCCTGGGAGCCCTTGCTCTGCCTGTTTCCCCTCTGCCCCTGGCTACAGCCTGGAGGCCCCTGCTCTGCCGCCTCCTCTCCCCGCCAGTCCCTGGTCGTGTGCTGACCCGGCCGTGAAGGTCAAGGTCGCTCGGACGCCGGGGAAGCCCCTCAGTCCGCAGCCCTAGGGAAGCACGCTGGACGTGCCCCGGAGGCACAGCCATCGCCGCCCCTAAGATGCACGCACCGCGACACGGAGTCCCTGAGTTGTGGCACCTGTCACGTTATTTTTTCGGAGGGTTCGGCGCGCAGCCAGGTGTGCGGCTTCGGTGCTCGGGCGACGTCGGCCGATGGCCAGTGCTTGGTGCCGGCTACTTCGCGCAGGTGTCCGACGTTTGGAGCGAACCAAAATTCCCCTCAACGCGGAAGGATCGTTTTAATATTGTATTATCTTATATTATCATATAATATACCATATATATATATATATATAGATATATATATAATCATATCATATCATCGTATCAGTTATAATATATCGTTGGGGAATTACGTGCCAGCAATTTGGGTGCTCTGACGATTAGACGGCATGAGCAAAACCGATCGAGCATCAACAATGCTAACGCTCGGACAGGACAGATGTATTTGCGATCCATGCAATTAGCGCTGGAGACAATTGAAAGATGATGTTCCTGTCCGAGTCTCCAGAAGAAGCCATAATACCCACAGGAAAATTGAACACGGATGAACAATAAACACGAATGCGGGCCTCATAAGGAAAACGTGGCACCGCAAACCACCTTTCCGGTAGCCCACTTTTAACAATGTCCGATTGGTAAGCCAGTCAACAAATCAGCTCTCGTGCGCGGCACCAAAAAGCACTGAGCGCAAAAACCTGCCTGAGCGATCAGGTAAAAGGCGCTGCGGCACCACTGCATCGCTCCGGTGCCAGCCCGCCGACACAAGCTGCCGCTCAGTCACCCAGCGTGGGACGTGGCAGTCAGTGTTCAAAACTGGCCACCGAGAAACGGGCACAGGCGTCACGGGCGCGGCCGGCGTGATCAGCGTGGAACCTGCGCGGAGCCCAGCGACGCGGCACGGGAGCATGCGCGACATTTCCTCCCAACGCGAGCCCAACTGGCGTATTGAATTGAACTGGGTTGCGCTAGTGAACTTGATTGGTCCGACCACGCGGGAAGTAGACCTTTCTGGAATGTCCTGTTCGCGCCAGTTACTGGCAGTCGTGTCTGGCGCACCAGCATCATGATTGCTCTCGCGAGCCTACGCCTGCGCGTCCACATATTCCAAATGCTTGACTGAGCCGCGTCGCACCGGCCAGCACACCATAAACGCGTGGAAACACCGTCCGAACGAGACCGTGAACGGCCCGAGCGGGAACGACACAGCCTGCCGTGCTCCGCAGGCGCGCACCACGAGGCAAGTGTGTCGCCAGGAAATCGGTACGCCATCTGGGAAACACGCAATGGCCCAGCGTAAAAAGGGGAGGAATGCCTGCTTCTACAGCCCTTCACAACGCGCGCTCCACTGATCACACAACGGGAGAAGCCCCAACGCGAAAATCTGGCCCCAATCTTTTCAACAGCCATCGGACCCCGGGCAAGTTGAGAAACACGCGCCGGACACATTAGCCAGCTCTGAGCGGCCCAATCTGGACGGCTGGCGTGTGGTCCACCTCCGTGGCTACGCCATCGATTCTGTGCGTGCTTGACCTACCCCAACGACAGCGGCATGTCCACACACAGCGGCATGTCCGCACACAGCTGCATGTCGGCACACAGCGGCAAGTCGGCAAACAGCGGCATGTCCGCACACAGCGGCACGTCGGCAAACAGTGGCATGTTCGCACACAGCGGCACGTCGGCACACAGCGGCATGTCCGCACACAGCCGCACGTCGGCACACAGCGGCATGTCCGCACACAGCGGCACGTCGGCAAACAGCGGTATGTCCGCACACAGCGGCACGTCGGCACACAGCGACATGTCGACACACAGCGGCATGTCCGCACACAGCGACATGTCCGCACACGGCGGCATGTCCGCACACAGCGGCATGTCTGTGTGCGGACATGCCGCTGTGTGCACGACACTTTGCTGAGCGTCGTGGGAGTCTCAGCCTCGAAACGTCTTTGTCCGCTCCAAATCTGCCAAGCTTTCTCGAGAAAAGTAAAGCCCTGGCTGTCGAACCATCCACGCTTCTTTTTTATTCTTTTTGTTTTGTCTTTATTTTGTTTTTTGTGTTTGTTTTTTTGCATGGAGCACAATTTATCTACTCGACTCCCGTACCATTCCACCAAGAGACCACCCAGCATATCAAACTTATCTATGCGTCTCAGCTCGTGTCGTGCATCGTGCATCGTGTCCACCGGAGAGGCAAACGTCCACGAATGGAGAGACATTTTTGTTTTGGCCTACCCCAGTTCGCGTGCTCAAGTACGGCCTGTCCAGAAGCCATCACCGGTGGGCGTGACCGCGCAGCGGCCGGTCCCAGCACACAGCGACCACCTGCGTCCGCTCCAGCACACACCGCCAGCGTACAATGACCTCCGGATCCCGCCGCGCGCGCAAATGACGTCACTGGTGCCAGCCGGAACAGCTGGCGCCAACTGACCGCGCCGGCAGGAATGATTTGCGTGGGCCTGCCGTCTGGCCCGCCGTCGAAATAAACTAAACTAAAACTAACCTAAACTACAACTAAACTAAACTAAACTAAACTAAATAAAACTAAATTAAACTAAACGGGAGCGGGGAGCCGTGCCCCCGGGGCGCGCTTGACACCGGCTGTCATCAAGGCCGCGGCTGTCAAACGGTAGTTAAATTTACAGCGCGTCGTGTGCAGAAGCACCAGCCATATAGACGATGGCAATCTGAGGCCGCCGCCATTCAGTTTATAAATTGCTTCGTTAAGAGCGGACGGCGGTCTCATCCACAAGGCGAGCGGGGTAAATCATGGCCCATCACGGCAGCGAGTCAACACCGGTGATCCATCTTGTCATTAGTCATTTTGGAAAATGGACAGTGAACAGACATCTCAACTTATTTTCAGATGGAAGCGGCTTCGCCGTGAACTGAGAGTCCAGGCATTTTCGCAGACTAAACATACGCCCTCCAAATTGCGCGCAGGCCCTTCAAATGGCACAGATATCCTCAAACGGTAGACACTCTTTGGACGATATGGAGACATTTTCCACCTGCATTGCAGAACCACTGAAGGAAACGTTGACGGCGCGTCGACAGGCATTTTTCCCAGGTCGCGCAGGTCCCCGCAGGTCACGCAGGTCCCCAGGTCCCCAGGTCGCGCAGGTCCCCAGGTCCCGCATGGCTCCAGCAGGTCCCCAGGTCGCGCAGGTCCCTAGGTCCCAGGTTGCGCAGATCCCCAGGTCGCGCAGGTCCCCAGGTCCCGCATGGCTCCAGCGATCCCCAGGTCACGCAGGTCCCCAGGTCGCGCGGGTCCCCAGGTCCCTCATGGCTCCAGCTCACACCGAGGGCAATACAATCCGCCACCACCAGCCTTCCTCCTGACGCCCAAGCCTCCACAGACAGAATGCAATCATAAGCCCGGCTCTGGCATTTCCACGGGCCGGCGGAGGTTGCCGAAATGTCAACCAGCTGCTGGGAGCGTCTACCTGGCCTCAAACGTCAGCCACACCCAAGGCTTTCCCGCATCTGCCCGGGGAGGAATATCACGTATCCACGGTGAAGACGGTGTCCAGCCCATCACCTCACAGTAGCCAGGGTCACGATCACGCGGGCGGCGCACGTCACCGCCTGACTGTCTCCCCACTGATTGGCTGAGGGCGGCAGGCCTCCGCCGTTGAGCTGGCCAGGCCACTTGCCACAGGGCCGGCGCGCGCTAGTCCCCCATGGCAAGTGGCTGTGTCTCCCCACGGATTGGCTGGGGGCGGCAGGTCTCCGCCGTTGAGCTGGACGGGCCACTTGCCACAGGGCCGGCGCGCGCTAGCCCCCCATGGCAAGTGGCCAACGGACCCGGGCAGCCCCAACACGCCCACGAGCACCGCACGAATGGGAGGCAATCAGCGCGGACACGCATCAAGCGGCATATCCGACTCACGCTAGCAGGCGTCGGAATGGGTTGGACCGTCTCCGGGTGTGACCGAGTCGGTCGTCCCGCGCCCACCCCACCCGATCTAGCGCGTTTGCGGGCTGGAGCGCGGGGCATCTACGGAGCCTACTTTCCCTCGGCGGCCATCTAGGCGGAGGCGCAGACGGCCGCGCAGATACGGCGGCCTCGTACGATACTCGACGAGTGCTTTCGTCGTGTGCCTTGCAGAAGCATGGGCGCGTGCGAACGCAGCCAGCACGTGAATACTATCTCCGCGGCGATGTGTGCTACAGGCGGGAAAAACCACCGACACAAGAGCGATGGAGAGGGACGAAAGCTGCGGACACAAGAGCGAAGGAGAGGGATGAAAGCCGCGGACAGCATCGCGAGCTAGAAGCGATAGTAAGCACAAAAGACGCCCGACACTGGGGGGGGGGGGTGGGAGAGATAACGGGCAGAGGGTAAGCGCACGTACAAGAAAATACTTCCCGGACGCAGAAAGAAGGAAAGCGAACACGCCGTAGGTCTAAAAGGAATGGCGGTACGAAATCGCACGTGCTATGGGTGCTCAAGAGAACCACTGGTAAACACCCCGAACGGTGGCAAGGGAAAACGAGAACTAGAAAGCCCAACAGAGAACAGCGGCCAAAAATCAGTAGGTGTCAATGGATACCGATTTCGATCTTCCTGCGGATAGCATCGACAGCATTGCCCGTAGCAGCAGCAGGAAATGAGAACACCGCCGTGGACATGTCAGCAACCGCTGCTGGCAGACGCAATCGCCGCTAACGTAAGCACGACGACCCCTGTGTTGCCCGCTGGGGTGTCCTCTGAGTGACCTTGACCTTTGAACCGCACCCAGTGCCACACAGTCGTGGCCCCACGCACGCGACGTGACGCGCCAGCACGCACGCATCGACGACGCGGGGAGGTCTGTGGGCGGGGGAGGGGCGGGGAAGGGTTGAGTCCGCGCAGTTTGAGTGTTCTCGCTCAGCGTTCGCTGCGCTGGTGTCGGCAGCTGGCGCGATCACGATCGTCGGCACACGCCCCAGCGACTGAAGCATTGCGGAGCTTTGCGATGCACGCTTACTAACCGCTGTATCGCGGGCAGGTGAAAGGCCGGGCAGACTAATGACCAAACATTCTTTAACGTATGAAAACGATTCTCAAACGCCATTGCTATCATTGTCCGAGGTCCGAGGACAAGCGCTAAATTTGGCAATATCTCGGTTCTTTAGCATTCGTTGGGAGTTGAAAGACTGCGTTGAATCTTTCCGCCCGTTCCCCGAGAAAAAACCCACACCATTTCCTCGGTAGGCCCATTCCCTTTCCAAGTTGAATGCCGCCTGCCGTCGACGCGAGGTCTCGCGCTCCGCCCCGGGTGACCTCGCGACCCCTCCACAACAGACGTTCTGCACTCCCGCTGGACCGTCCGTCAGACTACGCCGTCGGGGGGGGGGGGGGGGGGAGGGGGGGGGCGACCACGTCAGCGCGTTCGTGGCCGGCCAAGTCACACCTGCTACTGCTGGCCGACCCGCCCTCCGTCGGTCAGCGGTAGTGGCATCTGGTGAAGGGCGCTCGCCGTCCGAGCGACGGCGCTGTCCAAACACCGCGGCCGCCTGAGTAACGGCGGAGACCGTGATCACGCGAGGCTATCGCTGGCTCGTTCAGTAATGGCAGGGTGGCGCCAGAGGGTGGAAGGCTATGGAAGAGACGCCCTGTTACACAGGCG